TGTGTCTATATATATATATACATATATATATATATATGAGGACTACTAATCATTTATTCTTTTCTTGCAGTGCCTCAATTTGTATATGGAAAACCATGGGTAACTGCTTCAATATTTGCTGCCCTGAGGATGGATTTCGGGACATGCTACATTGCATGACATGCTAGAATTTGAAGCAGGAAATACAAATACTACTATACTGTCTTTTATTATTTTATGGTTTATATGGATAACTCGTAATGCTTTGAAACATAAAGATCTCCCTTTTACTAATAATGTGGTGATTCGTAATGTTGTGGCATATATTCAAAAAGTGGCGAATCACAACAAGGTGCCCTCTTATTTCTTCAGAAGATTTCACTCAAATTTGGAAGGATTTCTAGTTAATGTTTGAAGAAGGGAGGAAGGAAGGACAAGTGCGACTAGTGTATTGACAACAACCAAAGTACCCATGGATAAAAAATAGCACAAATGGGAGTTACTCTTCGGATGATAGTGGTGTTGGAAGAGTTTTCAGAGATCACTAGGGGAGTTGCTTGCTCTATTTTCATACTCCAAGTGTTGTTATGGATTGTCTTGAGGCCGAAGTGTGGACTGTTTCGTATGCGTTGATAGTTGCGGTGAAAATGAATTGGCGATTATTGATATGCAAATCAGATTCCCTCAAGCTTATTAATATAGTGAAAGGTCTTGCACAAGCTCCGTGGTTAATATGTATTCTTATTGCTAGAAATATCAACTTGTCTAGAAACTTGGAGATTGGAGGGAAATCGGGGTGTAGATTGGTTAGCTAAGGAAGGCACTCTTGCTAACATTGTTGTTATTGATCTTAAACCTCCTCCTACTTTAGCTGTTCCTTTGCATGAGGATAACTTATGTTTGCCCTATGTTAGGTTATAAGTTTGGGCTTACTTGGTGTGAAAAACGACGACAATAAAATGAAAAAATGGAACGAGAAAAATTGCATGCAGAAAAACACCAGAGCGACACACAGATTTACGTGGTTCAACAAATTTGCCTACATCCACGAAGCTGCAGATGATTTATTTCTTCGATGAATTACACTGTCGAGCGCCTAATCATTTACAAGAAAATCTCTATTTTCTTCTCTCCCTTCCTCTCTCTCTCTCTTCCTCTCTTTCTCTTAGCTCTCAAGAGGATTTGGCTTGGCCTTGCTTGGCTTGCATTTCCTTTAAACCAAAAGAGACTATTTATAGAAACCATGAGAGCGGTAAGTTGGAGGTAGGTGAGCGGTAGGTGGGATGTGGTAGGTGAACAGTAGGGGGGTGTGTTTATTTAATTAAGAAGTTAATTAAATTCGGTGGACCGGGTCTCCGCATTATCCAACAATTCTCCCATTTAGAGACTGAGACACTGAATGCATCACCTACTAGTTGCATCATCTACTAGCTGTACCGACCTTTTCCTCAAACATGATATCCTCCACCTCTGCAACTCAAAACCCCTGTCTTCATGTCAGAAGACCAACTGAAGTTGAGCACAACTTCAACTTCTCACGAGTAGCACCCTCAGTTGACATATCACCATCAACGTAGTCTTGTACCTCCAAGCTCTTTCCTGGGTTACTATTGTATCTGCTTACAACTCCCACTACATGAGCAATATCCCATCCCTGCTGAAAGCCATTTTCAACAAGTCCAACCTTGTACCTCTTACTACCACCAAGCGCAGTCTTCACCCGGCACACCCACTTGTTGTGCAATGTCTTCTTCCTCGATAGAAGTTCTGCCAGCTCCCAAGTTTGATTCCCTGGTAGAGAATCCTTCTCCTCCTTATTGGTCAACTCCCACTTGCTCGAATTCTCATCTTGCAAGATTTCTTCATAATTCTGTGGTTCTCCAAATTTTGTCTATACAAAGTCTGGTTTTCCTGCCTTTGGTGCTCTACCACTTTTCAGAAAATTGACCTTTTTCTGCTTCCTCATAATGCACCTTTGACTCATGTGTCCTCGCCTGAGTAAACCTGTAGTCATATATAGTGTGTCAGATTTCTTACCCTGAGCCAGTACTAGTGCTCCTTTGGTAACCTTCCAGGTGTTATCTGAGAACACTACCGAATGACCACCCTCATTGAGCTGCCCAACAAAGATGAGGTTTTTCTTCAACTCAGGAACGTGCCTGACCTTTTGCAAAGTCCATTTGCTCTTGTTAGGGAGTTCAATATCAATGTCTCCCATCCCCACCACGTCTAGAGCTTTTCCATCAGTCAGATATATCTTCCCAAAGTTACCTGTAACATAATTTTACATTAACTCCCAACGGAAAGATGTATGGAAGGAAGCCCCTGAATCCAGTATCCAGTCATCAACAAAACTGTGAACTGTCAGCAATAGCGCATCCTTCTTCAGTTACAATATTAGCGTCATCATGCTCCTTGTTAGGATTCCTACAGTTTCTTTTTATGTGGCCAGCCTTGCCACAATTCCAGCAAGTTGCTTGTTGACCTGACTTTGATTTTGATCTTCCACGGTTTAAGTTTCTGCCTTATGATCTCTCTCTGGAATCAACAATCAGTGCCGACTCGAACCCAAGGTCTCGCCAGAATCTTTCCTGCGCACCTTCTCAGCCAAAATCAAATCACGTATATCATCATATTTCAACTTAGATTTACCTGCAGAACTGCTAACTGCCATCCTCATAACTTCCCAACTATTTGACAATGAAACCAACAATATCAACACACGTATCTCATCATCAAAATCAATTTCAACAGATGATAACTGATTTGTGATAGTGTTGAAATCATTTAGGTGTTGAGCAACAAACACAAATTCAGCCATCTTCAAGTTGAATAACTTTTTCTTCAGATGCACCTTGTTATTCACCGATGACTTTTCATACATACCTAATAAAGCCGCCATGAGATCTGCAGTAGTTCTTTCCTTGATGACGTTATGGGCAACCGATCTCGATAGGGTTAATCATATAACCCCCAGAACCTGTCGATCCAACAGATTCCATTCCGCCTCGTCAATCTTTTCTGACTTATTTCCCAAATGATCATTTTCCTAATAATGGAAGATGAAGTTTCTTCCCATAAAGGTAGTCCTCTATCTGCATCCTCTAGTAAGAAAAATCTGTGTCATTGAACTTCTCGATCCCCGATGTCATCACTCCATCTCCGCACATCGTTCTTCCTTAGATTTGAACCAAAGCTCTGATACCAGATTTTGTGGTTGTTGTGAAAAACGACGACAATAAAACAAAAAATGGAACAAGAAAAATTGCATGCAGAAAAACACCAAAGCGACATACATATTTACGTGGTTCAACAAATTTGCCAACGTTCACGGAGCTGCAGATGATTTATTTCTTCGAAGAATTACACCGTCGAGCGACTCGACGTTTACAAGAAAATCTCTATTTTCTTCTCTTCCTTCCTCTCTCTCTCTCTTCCTCTCTTTCTCTTAGCTCTCATGGACTTGACTTGGCCTTGCTTGGCTTGCATTTCCTTTAGACCAAAAAGAGACTATTTATAGAAACCATGAGATCAGTAGGTGGGAGGTAGGTGAGAGGTCAGTAGGAGACATGTGGTAGGTGAGCGGTAGGTGGGTGTGGTAGGTGAGCGGTAGGTGAGATATTTAATTAAGAAGCTAATTAAATTTGATGGACAAGATCTCCACATTACCCAACATTACTCTTATAAATTATTGGTCTTTTTTGGAATGAAGAGCTAGCCTAATTTTTTGCTTTTATATATATATATATCTGTGTGTGTGTCTCTACACACATGCATGCTTGTGTAATAGATTCTCTTCTAATCAGCGCCACATGGCTCATTTTAATTTAAAAATAGTATATGCTATATTAAAATAGAAAACAAATAGATGCAGGCAACCACTTGAATGAAATAAGATGCATGGGACCGCTCGAATGGAAGCAGATGCAGCTCAAGTCGCAAGCAAAAGCAAAAGTGACATTAGATGACACTGTTGATTAGGCACTGCAGCAAAGTGAGCCAACCACCCCTGCGCCAATGAATGTCAACTTAATTATTTCATTACAAAACTGAGCATTTATTATGAGGCCTTCGGGAGAAAAAAAATGCCAAATCTAAGGAAGCCATATTTTTTAACCAAACAAAATCTATGAAATATCTGAGGCATTAAAGCAGGGAGTTAATTGTTTCGTTACCGTTACTTTTACGAGCAGGTTTCCTAAGCTTTTTACGGATTTTAGTCAGCAAGAGTACGGAAATATATTACAATAATTAGTCCGTCCTTCGGGGTAAGTTTTGAGAACCGAGAGATGTGGGATTAAAGTTAAGCAAGATCCTCTAAGTCTACCAAATTTTAATAGGCACTGGTTGACACAAAAGCTTAAAAAAGCTCCCATCAACACCGGTGACATTGTCTTTTTGTCAGTAAAAGCAAAAAAATTATTAAAATAAACATTCAAGCATATAGTAATGTTCCTTCAAGTTTCAATTTTTCATGAGAAATCAAACAGAACTGAGATGATGCAATTCCACCAAAGAAAAGTCAACACAGATGCATCGGAGCTTGGGAATATGTGGGATGGACGAAATTAAAAGATTTTTTTAAGCAGGCTGAGAGCATGCGAAAGTTGCTTATTTTAAAATCTCTATTTCATGCCAGGGAATCACCCAATAACTCAGGATCCCTTCGTTAGAAAAAGGAAGAGAACAAATAAAAGTAGGTTAGTGACTGCCATAAGATGCCGAGCTAGTGTTTTTCAGACTCAGCTCAGGCAAATGCTGACGAGAACTTTGTTCATATTCACCGAAGAAAAGCCAGCAAACAAGACATAGTATACTGTTGGAGACGTCGCTTTGAATACAAGTACACTTTTACAGCAGAGGTATAATACTGATTGAATAGCAGAGAAAATACAGAAAAGGAATGCATTTCTGATGATCATAGTACACAAACAGACATTACATTACTTACTCCAGCACAAAACCTTAAAATTTTCCTATAATAAACAAACAATATGACGGAACATGATGGAGAATATAGATTTCGTTGCACTCTTGAGTAAATATTACAAGAAAGATTGGTGACCCCTGTTGCTCCTACAGGCGCGAACACAAATCAAGAGATGGCAAAGTTATTCCTTTTCATACAAGCTCACCATAACTTAGCCATCAAATAATCAGAAGGCCATAAGATGAGTGATAGTGGCAGAAGCGATCAGTATCCTCGGCTAAAACTATTAAACAGACCCAAGTAACAATGTTGGCAGGCCATGCAGTTTTTGTGTTCTGCAGCTTGAAAGATGTATGTACAAGTAAGCGATATTCAGTTTCCCTGGATGTTTAACTAAGCCATGTACCCAAACGTTGAAAGACCATTACACCACCTGAGCTTTTTTTTCCTTTTTTTTTCTCTTTTGTTTCTTTACTTCAATCTAACATTTCAGCATTCTGAAGAGAATTATGAATATACCTGACTATTGAATGCCAAAAGAAGTGTAAATCCAGAGGACAAAGCAACATGATAGGCAAAATAATATCTCTTTCAGAAGGGTGGAATTTCATGCATGCCATCTAAAAAAAAACACCGTTTTGTCCAGGAATTGCACCATTAAGATTGCATTGAAATGTGCTTTGAGGCTGCCGTTTCATTCCATACGGAAAGATTCCATAACTTGACTGAATGAACTGATTTCCATTGGAAGACGGACTAAAGACAGTGGCTACTTCATTGGGAAGTTTGGAATCAACAACCATGGAGAATTGTTCAGAGGTGGCTGGAGCTGAGGAAGAACTTGATTGTATAGATGAAACAGATGGTTGGGATGGAGAGGGAGATCTGCTGTCTTCAAGAGAGACGGTTTTGATGTCATGTATGCTAGCTCTCCTCTTCTCTTTGGTACCAGAATTCAGCCTGATGAAATACTTCTGGGCATGGCTGGCAACTTGGGTTGGAGTCCTTGTAACAACAAAATTGCGAGAGATGTTTCGCCAGTCACCTTTCCCATATTTTTTAAGACCAATTAAGAACCTCCTGCCAACAAAAAACCAGAGTTCATTTAAAAAAAGGATTTTTTTTCAATCTAAGAGAAATAAATTATTAATCTTTAAGGATTTAATCAAACCCGTAACAAGAATTATCAAGAGCTTATCTCTACATAAATAGTGCCTTAAATTCAATATTATAGCACATAACTTTCACACAAAGCTATTAAAGTCAGCACAGAGAAAGATTCCATAATGAAGGATATTAATAAAGAGGGATTGGATGGAGTAATACTTGTGCTCTTCTTCAGTCCAAGGGATTCCTTTCTTCCTCTCATGTTCAGCAAGCCTTCCTCCCAGTCTCTTTCCACCAACACAACAAGCATGCCGCAACTCATCAAAGCCATGATCGTTTTCCCAATCCAAAGTGAAAGATGAAGAGCTGTAGCCGGGAAAGGGAATCAGCCCAGCTTCTATGCAATTAACATCGTCTTCTAAATCCCGGTAATGGGCTACGACATCCTCCACTGTTTTCCCAGGGATCATTTCAGCTACCTTCACCCATCTGTCTGGCAGGTCTTCATCGAAATGCGCAAGAGCATTCTCAAATAGCTTGTTTTCATGCTGAGTCCAGTTCCCGCTCTTTTTCTCACCAAGTATCCAATTAGAATTGGATAAATAAGCAGGATAAGGAGATATAACTTCCATCCACGAGTTTGTCATCATCTAAGGATGCTACCAGTTTATTACCTCAAGCCCAAGAACATAATTTGGGTGAAAGGACCAAAAGAAGAAGCAAATCCAAAGCTAAATCAATGCAAAGCGAGTTATATGCCTCCCTCAAAGAATCAGGAGAAAACAACCAGCTCGCCAAAACTAGAGTAGTTAGTAAAAACACCTAAGAGCAAAATCAAAAAAAAAAAGAAAAAGAAAAAAAAAAGGACAGACTGACTACCAGATTTTAAGAACCTTCACCGAACCAATAAAAAATGAATCGATGCAATAGCTGCCTGGAATTCAAGTACAATTCGCTTTCCAAAATAATAGAGACAATCTAATGGCACACAGTTTATGGAACGCTAGAAAACCTAGATGGAGATCAGATCTGGCCCTCGGTACTCGTCTGATAAGAATAATCCCTGACAGAGAAAGCCCACCAGCTTAATTTTAAGGGCACGATGCCCGGAGAAAGAAAGAATTTATCAACCAGAATCATCTGCAACGAGCTCAAAGACAACCCGAAGAACTGCGAAACGACAGCACATCAGCAGAAGCCATCAACAACAGCAACAAGATAAAGAGTAGTGAACAAACTCACAGTGAATCGAGACACAAACAGAATAGAAAACCAATTGGAACAAGAAATGAGATGGTAAAGGAGAGATTTTTCTAACCTTTAGCTCGAAGTCTGAAGCTAAAGTAGAACGAACAAAGAAAGGTGGAAGGAGCAATGAATCTAAATACCTCCCTCTCCCTGTCTGAGGAAGCCTCCCGTTTTTATTCCATTTCTATTGTCTGAGATCTAAAAGAGCACAGGGAGAGATGGACGGTGAATGGATCCCAGAGGCCACTCAGCCATCCGAACATTTTCTTTTCCCACATTCGCTTATATTAATGCTAATAGCCAAGAAGCTCCGAGTTAGGAGACATTAAGTACCTAATTATTTATTAATCCTGCCAAATAATAAATTAATAAATAATATTTATTTGTCCAAAGTATAGAAAATTTTGATTTCGGTCTCATCATAATTATATAGTTTAGTATATTTTAATTTTGGATATGATTTTAATTCTTCTTTTTTCATAAATAATATAAAAATATATTTAAAATATAAAGATAATTCTTTATTTTATTACGGGATCTTCTGAAAAAAAGTTTAATTTTTCAAATAATTGAGAGTTTTTTATAACATTTATTGAAATGTATGTGTTGTGGTCGATGCTTTTTTACTTTCACTGATTGTTTTTATACAACCTAATCAAAACACAATAAATTTCAATCCAAATAATCAAAATCAGCTGAAAAAATGAATTCCAAAAAAGAAAGATTGATAAATAGTATTTGTATGTAGAACTAAAATTGTTAAATCTTAGATTGTTCAAACATTCATAGCATTTGGGCTAGTTCATTTCAAAAGCGAGAAAAAAAAGAAAGAAAAAGATAAATGTTGTAGAGAGGATAGCTATAAGATTTTACTTATAGATGAAATGACATACAAAAGTTATAAGCCTTAAGGTTGCAGTTGAATCATTTTAGGACATAGATCATATATTATCTGCGGGTTCATATACCTAGGTAGAGGTCCTCTTTTTTGGAAGAAAGTGTAGAGAAGAGGGGTGGAAGTCTTTTCGACGCTCGAGTTCTCAATTTCTCTTCTGGTCTTCTGGAACGAAGAGAAGACCTAGATAAAAGGTTCTTTGTTAGGGAGGTTTGATCGAAGCCTTGGATCATCCCTTTTCCTCCTTTGACTCTCCAACAAAAGGAAAAAAAAAGAAAAGAGCATTAAATTTTGTCCATGATGCCTGGATGGAAAGGACCGCGACATCGATGTCATATGGCTCCTAAATAGGCATACATATGTATATTCCATAATGATAACCTTCTCTTTAGCAGTCAGATGACTCTGAAGAAGAAAAGAGCTCGATAGGTCACTTTGACAGGTATATACAGTCAGGCCGTTTCGACAGGTGGACTTGATTAGGCCATTACAAGCGGTAGCCCCGATCAGGCCACTTCAGCAAGAATGCATGTAAGGCCACTTCAATAGATGATGCCCAAAATTTTTGCGAGCCAATAACTTATCACACAATTATAAGTGTTACTGAGTAACACACAAATTATGAGTTCATGTACCATTCCCTTGAAGTTGTTATAATATTACTAACACAGAAAGTTATAGTTTACTAAACTGCTAAACCTAGTTTGAAGGTTCAATTTGCAGACATAAAATTTTCTAAAGTCCTAATACATAAAGAAGAAAACTAAACTAGATTTTGTTTAAAATTTTCAAAGATGAAAGGTTCTTCTCCTGTGATATCTATCTAATGATTTCTTAATATTTCTCCTATGAAATCTCATGTTATTATTAACAACCAGGGAAATAATCCTCCTTAGCATAAGTCTAGGTCATAAGAAAAGTTGTAAACTATGTTACATTTAAGTGATACTTAACCATGCAACATTTCCCAAGATTCCTAGACTCTCCCATCTTCGTTGCAATTTTCTAATTGCATTATATCCATTTCATTAGGCTATTATGCGTTAATATACTTATTCTTCTTGGTGATGATTAGAAGTCCTGGATCACAAGAGATTTTTACATTTTATTTTTGTAAAATGAATGGAAAATTAAAGCTGGAAAGTTAACACATCCACATATGAATCCAAGCATAACAAAGGTGTATAGGGAACAAAATCCATAAGTTAAAATAATGTAAAGATCACATGCCTTGCATAAGAGGAGTATGAAGATGAGATTAACTAATATACATGAGAAAATAAAGCATGACAAATTATTTTTATGAACATTAAAGAAAAAAATATGTAAAAGGTACAAAAAAAAAATCAAATCCGATCCCATTATTGATTGTAATACAGCATGATCCTCTGCTTATTGCAAGCTTTCATCAATCTCTTTCATGCAAGTGTAGTCATTCTGTCATCACAACCACTCCAAAATCTTGATAAATGAACATGAGAAGAGAAACAAATAAGAAAAACTCTCTCAAGCGAACTATAGGGAGAAACCCTAGATCCCCAAAGACTCTCCTAAAGCATAACGACAAAGCCCTAATGGTCAAAAGCTTAGGGGTTTTTACATACACAACACGTGAAACTTCTGAATTTACATATCTCACTCTCAAATCTTTAATATTACAGATTTCAAACTTTATTTAGCATTTTTTTGCTTTCCAACAGCTCTCCCTCTCAATGACAAAGTCTCGCTTCAGCGACCTGCTCTTCTCTCCACAGTTAGGCTTGGAGATAAAAGGTTTTGTTTGCAGATGAAGCCTCACTATAACGAACCCGCAACTCCCTCCCCTCTTCGGTGAAACAAGTGGGTCCTCATTGATGCCCCTTTTCATCAGCGACCTGTCGCACCTCAGCCACAAATTCTCTCAGTAAAACCATCGTAGCTCCCACCAAAACCCTCGTCGGAGTTAAAGCCTGGTAGACCATCACTGTTGGAGTCAGAGTAGAAATCACCACCTTCTTCCTTCAACAAATTACCAGCAGCTCTCACGATCACCCTCGTTGGGGCCAAAGCCTAGCACATTATCGTCATTGGAGTCAGAGCAATAACCACCGCCTTCTTCCTCATTATATTTTATGGCATCCGTAAATCATATCCAAAACACTGGACAGGAGCTGCTGTCTGTGGGCCAAATGGGGAAGAAAATGCAGTGGATTGAAGGAAGAGGAGGCCTAAAGTTCACCAAATAGTGAGGAGGAATGCCTATTTATAGGTTAGGAAGGTGGAAATAGAGGCCTCCAAGGCCGTCAATTGAGTGTTGAGTCGATGGTCTGGAGTATTCCGGTAGTTGGAGGTGCCACAGATCACTTTGACAAAGCAATGCAATGCTTCTTTGTTGGATCCATGGAAGAAGACCTCCGATCACTAGCATGGCTCAGGGATGTGGTCACACCAACATCAGTCGTGATCACGCCGAGAAACTTTCTGTAGTGGTCACGCTTGAATTGAGCATGAACACGATGAGCAACTTTTAAGCATGGCTATGCCTCAATTTCGCTGACCACCCCTAGAGACTTCTGGGAGTGGCTACGCCCAATCCGAGTGTGACTAAGCCCAAGAACTTCGAGGCATAGCGACGCTCGAACAAAGCATTACCATGTCAGTCCAAGGAGAATCCATGAGTGTGTGTTGAGTCAAACCTGAGTTGGTTGACCTAAAATGAGGTCAATAAATGGACCTCTAACTAGGACAAGGTCGAACCCAGGGAAACTTAGTCCAACCCAAGTCTGACTCAGATTCAACACCGGCCAACTCGGTCCAACTTCATTCTAACTCACATGCCAAAAACTTACTTATTTTGTTATATATATATATTTTATGTTAATTTTTAATTATATTTAATGATATTACACTTTAAAGGAAATGTATTTGTATTTTATGTTAATTTTTAATTCTATTTAATGATATTACACTTTAAAGGAAATGTATTTTATATATTTTTGATTTTAGGTACAATAAATAGACTTTTGGAGAAAATGAAGCAAAAATGGATAAAAAATGGGACGGTGCAATTTGGAGCCAAATCGAGTAAGAAAGAAAATTCTGATATGACACATTTTGATATATCTTTCTATGCTTAATATTTTTTACATTTATCACATGTTTTTTAATGAAATTATACTTTAAAGAAAAGTTATTTTCATGTTTATCTTGTCGGTATAACATTTGGAGCAGTTTGAAGCTGAAACGGGGTAAAACAGAGCAAAATAGAGTGAAATGGAAGCTTCTAGTAGAGTGGCACCTAGACGCCAGTTTCACCCAAAAATTTGCGCCTAGATGCCAGAATGTGGTGCCTAGGCGCCAAAAACGGTTAAGGGGTGATTTTGGGCTATTTCGGGTTATTCTGGGTGGTTCTAGAAGATTCCTAGTAGCTATGCACGCCCAAAGGAGTTATGCAATGAATCTAAACATTTGGAAAGACACCTTTTGGCATTTCACATATTTTGAAATGAAGAGGTACGACTCTTGGAGTGAAAAGATGTGTCTCTTGGAGTGAAGATGTGTGTCTCTTGGAATGAAAAGGTGTTTGGTTTCTCTTTACAAAATGGGGTTGATGTCTCTCAAGCAAGGAGGAAGAAGTGTTTAGGAGGCGTTTTAGAGTGGGTTCATCATGCCTCTTCTAAAAGGCGAGTGTGTGTGTGTGTGTGTGTGGGGGGAGGGAGCAGTGTGTGTGTGTGTGTGTGTGGAGTGATGGAGACTTTTGGGACTTTGGAAGAAGTGTAAAGGATTGTTATTTGCTTTACAAGGAGGTCGTGATTCTTTTGTAAAGATAAGTCGTGGACTCTTTTTTATTTGCTTTAAATTATTGCAATATAGTTGTGTGTTTTCAATGTCGTTTGTAATGAAAAATCCATGTGTTTTTTCCATGCTTAGTGAGTACTTTTTTTTACTCTTTCTCCTTGTGATGAGAATTAATTATTTGTAGGATTAGAAAGATTTGAAGATTTCGTTAATTTTAAAATTGTGATGGTATTTTTACCAGTTTTTAATTTATTTTACAAACTGATCACTTGTAATGTTAAAATTTGTTACGAAACATAATGACTCGAAAGGGCTATGATTTCACCAACTAGTGAGTACCACACTAAACCTTGGATGGAGGGGATGCCACATCCAAGGGGGAGTGCAAATAGATAAGGAGATAAGTTTTGATGGGCATATAATTGATGCTTCTAGAGTGACAGGTTAGAACCTTTATTAATTTGGTTTTAGTTGAGAACCTGAGTTTCTGGTATGTTCTATAGAGATGGCATAGTGGGTAATCTGAAAGTGAGAGGCTAGAATCTTCTCAACAGTACCATACAATTAAGAACATAACTTTAGATTAGCCAATGT